ATCTTTCAGCTTCTGCAGTATGCTTTGTTTTAGATGTTTCGGTATTACATTTAGAGAAAAAAAATGGAGCATTTGAGCTGAAATGCTATAGAAAGATTCCCAGAATACCATGGACAAAGAAGAGAAGAAATACAACATTTTAAAAGACCTAAAGATCAAGGAAGATTGGCTAATAAACAGCATCTTTTATCGGAAGCTGAAATATTTTGGTCAAATCAAATGCCCCAGCGGATTGGAAAAAATAATAGCAGTAGAAGACAGGGTACTAGGAAGAAGGGGCAGGGGTTGACCAACACAAAGATGGGCACAGGAAATGAGTGACTCCTTGAATATGAAAGTATACAAAGTGGGAGAGCTGGCATGAGGCTGAGTTTCTTTCAGGCAGACCGTGCAAAGGACCTTCTACATGATGATGGTGTTACATTTCTTTTGGAGTTAACAAGGCAGGCCAAGCGAGGAATCAAGCTGACTGGGCAACACATGGTCTCTACAATACTGCCCAGGCTTTGAGTTATGAAGAGGAGGACCTTCTTCCCTTAAAAGGTCTCAGAATCAAATCAAGACTGAGAATAAATATGTTCAATACATGTTATTGCAACTATCGTCCTAAAATCTCACATATTTATTCTGGAATATTCTTTTCAACATGAGTTGGTCTTGCTTGTCACATTGCCCATCACTACGGGTTGTGATTTCCATGCCTCTCTATAGTTAAGTGGAGCAATATTGTATAGAAAGACGGAAAGGTGCCAGCAGAACAAATCTAGAGCAGTAGTTTTAACATGGAAGGGAAAAGGTGGGGGGGGGGGGGGGGGGGGGAATCAAAGAAGTTTAAAGGGAGAGGGCATCAAGCAGTTTTTAAAATGAGCACGTCTGTACTTGTACAATTTGTTATTTATACTTTTTTTTTCAATTGAATTACAAATAAAATATTTTTTAAACTGTATATAAAACAACAGGTCAACCCAGCCTAAAATGAATACCAGGATGGAAGTCCTGGGGGATGGAAGTCCTGGGGAAGTAAAGTCAGCCGGCTCAATGCTGACCACATTACCCAACTAGTGCCGATTGGTCTGTAAAAATATGGGGGGGGGGGGGGGGGGGGGCTCTTCCCATATACCCGATGTGCCAAAGGCGTGAAAAGGGATCGTTACATTTGTTTTTACTTATATATAAAACAAAAAGCTAAGGACATTATGTTATCTGATACTTCAATTGATGTGGATGTTTTTCTCCAAGTTCTTGATAACAGTGTTTGAGATTTTTCTTTTTGTTCTCTTTTTATCACATCTTTTTTTAAATGTCAGATTATCGGGGGAATGGGGGGGGGGGGGGGGGGGGGGGGGGGGGAGAGGATTCTTGCCCAAATATTCATATGAGTTGACACCTGACTGAAAAAATGTTGAAAACAACTGATCTAGAAAGACAATGTTGGATGGCCTAATATGCTGGTATTGAGAAAGATCCAGAAAACCATGGACCAAGATCTAGATACAGATAGCAACCATCTGGCAAGGACCATCTTCTTTCCTTCTTCTAAACAAAGCAGCTGGCACACTGCTTTGTGGTTTACAGCTAGACTGTAAGATCTACGCCTTTTTGTCCAACACAAAACGCAATCCGATTTCAGCAAACTCCTAATTAACCGCCTTTTATGACAAGCTCGTAGGGGGAGTGGGAGTCGCAGCGGCAGAGCGGCTAGATGCCCGCCGCAGATCGGAAGGTCATGGGTTCGCTCCTTGGCGGAGCCGGGCTTTTTCAAAAAATGACATTGGCTCTCAGGTTGACCCAGCCTTGAGTGGGTACTGGGTGCAGTCCCGGGAAGTAAAGGCGGCCGGCGTGATGCTGACCACATCACCCATCGTGTGCCGTTGGTCTATAAAAATATAGGTCTAGCCCTATGCCTAATGGCGTGGAAAGGGTCCTTTACTTTTTTTTTAACTTACTTAAGGGGAGTGGTAGAGTTCTACCCCCCCCCCAAATCTCCCCCTCTTCCACCGCCAGCCCCAGAACCCACACAGAAATGGCAAGGAACATGACGATAATTATAACATTTTATGCCAAAATGTCATAGAAACATCCTTTTCCAACAGTAAGAAAGTAAAAAACCCAAGCTTTGATAAACCTGAAGTAACATACCCAAATGCTGTATGCAATTAACTTTTAATTTAAACTGTAAAACCCAATACTACATATACAAATATAAAACACACAAACTTCTTCTTTTTCTTCCATTTACCAGCTGTAAACTGGCAGAAAGTGATGGTTTTTCATCTACCTCTAGACTTTAGTCTTGTTTCAGTAGCTGAGTTATGCATGCACATCCACTTACAAATCTGGCTTATTTGTATGCAGGCTGTTGGTTCCTAGCCTCTCAGGCAGACACGCTTTGACTTCTAAGGAAACATTCCTAATTAGTCGGCTTTTATGACATGCTTGTTAAAGGGGCAGTGGGTCTATCTCCCCCTTTCCCCCCACAGAACACCCACCACGGGGAAGAACTTTGGTTCTTTATTAATATTCTACCCCAGATGACGTCACAGGACAGTCCAACGTTTTAGAGGGTGGTAAAACTGCGTTTCCCGGCTTTTTGATGCTTTTAACAACCCCCATAAAATCTAGAACTGGCCCTAACCCCAACCCACCTTCGTCCCACTAGAGAGTGCAGCCTAGGTCCCACAAATGCATGCAGCCTAGGTCCCACAACTGCGTGCAGCCTATCTACCACCCCTTGAAATATAAGACTGTCCCGTGACCTGTGGATTTCTCCTGTATGGGGTAGGCTATTAATATGGCACCAGAACTTCTCATTAAGCAAGTGAGAAAACATATGATAACTAGACTTACATCACTGTATCTATTCCGTGGAATATTTATAACAGTTTTTTTATTCTCCATATGTACAGTCACTCCACGTATTTGTGACAACATATACTGGTAGTTGCGGAAATCTGCAAGAAGGTTAATGATTGTGTGGCCAATCTCAAAAAACACTGGCTTCCGATTTCTCACGCTGACAAGAGAGCATGGGTAATCTGTGAACATGAAACATAGCATTTTTATGTTAAATTTAAAAAAAAGGTACTAAATATCACACATTATAACTAAGATTCCCCATGTGGGTCTGGGACCCTGTTGTGGGGGACAACAAGAATAGACCCACTGCCTACCCAACCCGACTAATTGCGGACTTCCTTAGTTTGAAGCCGGAGTGCATTTGCCCGAGTGGCAAGGAACAAGCAACTGCACACAAATAAGCCAGTAAAACGGATGTACATGCAAAACTTAGGCTCTGGCACAAGCCAAAGTCCAAACGGATAAAAAACCAAGACTTTCCGCACTGCAGCTTACGGCTTGTGAACAAAGAAGATTAATATCTAAGATGTTTTTAACGAGTGGTGGTGGTGGCTTTGCGAAAAAAAGAACTGTCATGTTCAACAAGCATCCCTAAAGGGGCAGCTTTAGGTTATAATTGTGACATAGGTTTCTTAAATCGTTCAAATTACCACGCAGCGGATGCCTTTCGTCATTGGTAACTTGTTTCTATAAAGCACTTTAATACTATTTTCTCACTGCAGGTGATACTTTTTTTATCGTTATCTTCTGCATCTGGCTAAAGTTTACCATGGCAATTCTTGTTTTAAAAACAGCAAAAAATTGTGTGTCTCTGGTACCAATTTTTACCCTGTCATCTAAAAAGCAGCAAAACTGACTGGTACCTGTGGCTGAATCAAATTCCCAGAGAAAGTCACTGACTGACCGTTTTTACAAAAATCATTGTTAAGACTACTGGTTGTGTTCATGCCTGAACAGCTTATAGGAAGGAGGTCAGGATAGGAATTTACAGTAAGACTTCATTAACATGATTCCCAGAGACTGACAAATCAAGAGTTCCTGTCTAAAAATACTTTGCTAACTGGGTACTAACAGATGCATTACTGGACCAAAATTTTCTCCACGTTTACAGTATTCTTATGCGAATTGGTGTTGACAAAGTTTTACTGTATATATTAAAAACAGCATTTTAAGTGTGGGGTGGGGGGGGGGGGGGGGGGAGCCGGGTGCGAAAACTGCTTTTTATAAAGCTGTGTTGACATCAAATTTTCTTCACAGTGACTGAGGTCACAGTATCATCTGTTGCATATTTATTTCATTTAATGCCCCACTCTGTGTTTATTGATTACTTCCTTTAAACATCTTTATATTTTTCCTAGAATTTTTTTTTTTTTAATATAGATCAATAAATATTTGTTAAACAATTATTACTGACGTGTAAAAAAAAAAATGTTTTTAATTGTTGAAAGGTTTTTAAAACATTCTCACAGTGTTCCTGACCTATTGTCCATTGTTCCCAGGGAAATAGAGTTATAATACTAGACTGACCCGAGAATTGTGGGTGACTGTTTTTTAAAAAAGCCCTCTGTAACTAGTTTAAGAAAAGAAACTGCTACGCTGAGAGGTCTAAAAAAAAAAGGGTAGTAAATTATAGGGAGGAGAAGAAAAAGCAGTTTATTTCAGCTTTACAAAATCAATTACAATGAACAAACAAAGGTTATTGCAGTGATTAGCCTTCATCAGCAAAAACAGACAACATAGTGCACACACACACAAATATACACTAACTATGAAATGACTACATTAGAATATTATGTACATGACTATGATAAAATAAATACCAATAAACATAGGCTTATAGTAAGTAAGTGAGACTTATCTAGGTCGCTGGTGAAGCTCCAAGAGGATTAAATAGACAAGATACTGAGCTATACTTAGCCAGAGCGCAGACAGGAAGTGAAACTGGGTCAGTATACCTGGGTGGAGGGAGGAATTATCACCAGTCATAGTGAGAGGAAGAAAACAACCACAGAAAATCAATGCATCATCCATTAGGTAACCCACAGAGGCGAGGCACAGCTGAAAATGTGCTTACAATTTTACATTTTTTTTTAAATTTTTGTTTTGTTTTTTGCAGTACAGACTACAATGTAATGAAGACTCACATCTGTACTCAGCTCCAAGGCGCAGCATAAGTCTTATTGGGAACACTTTAGCCCAGGGCACCTCCCACTTCTGGAGAAGAATGCCAAACAGGTAGGGGGGCTCTGGCAGTGGAAGCTTGTTCAAACATTGAAAAGTGGGTCGCAGAAACAAAAATCCGCCGTGGTCTCGGTTTCCCAGGAAGTTTTGATGGAAGATGGAGTGACCTAAATCTTGAATTGTGCTGCCTGTACAGAAAAGCATAAGAGTATTTTGACTTCACTCTTACATTTGGCCAAGTTGTCATAATTGTTACAACTATAAAAGCTGGTCTCTGTATAGAAACTTTACATCTGGAAAAAGAATATAAATACAATACAAAAGGTCTTAGGACACTTTTTACTTTCGAAGGACTGATACGGACCTCATTCTTTTCAACAGTCATACTATTGCTTCTTCTTCTTTGCGTTCACCAGCTACAAACTCCGGCAGAAAGTTCTGGTTGTTTGTTCACTTCTGAATTTTAGCCTTGTTCCAGAACTTTTGCACACACATAAGTTTTACAGATCTGGGTAATACAGCCCAGGAACTCATGTCATATGGGAAAATAGTCTATACTGAGGAATTTATAATTTATCAATTTTAGAATCACAACAACAACAATAACAAAAGGGGACTTTATTCTAAAGCTAGTTTTTGTTGTTTAAATGATGTCAAGGACCGCTTAAATTTGTTTAATATCATCAACAAGAGCCTTGCCAGCAGGCATAAGCGCTGATGCATCTCCACAGATCTGGGTCTTTGGTGTTCTGGATCAATACCACTGATGATATTCCTCCATGACACAGTCTTAAGCTACCCACCATCATTCTCTTGGTCTGCCTCTTCTACCAGTGATCTTTCCAGTCATGATATTTTCCAGTGCTCCTTTTCTCGTCACATGATCAAATAAATTTGTCTGTCTTCTTCTCACTGTTGTATATAAGGTTCTACTTTCATTAGCCATTTCCAGGCAATCATTGCTACGGCAGTCCAAGGTATTCGCAACATCCTTCTCAAGGACTACCACACAGAAAAGTCTGGTACAGAAAATATTATCAACAGAGAAGAAAAATAGTACAAATAAAAGACACTTTTCAAGAGCTGGGGAACTACTGTAAGAGCCTCTTATTTTTATAGACCAGTCAACGCTTGATGAGTGATGAGGTCAATAGCAGTTAGCTTTGTTGTTCTTCATTTCCTCTTTTACCACTTCAGGTGTCGAGGGAGAGATTTAAGGTTCTGCTTCATGCTCTTCTGGCCACCTCAGCCATAGACACATCGTGTTGTTGTAGTTTCTCTGATGTTATCCTTCTATATTGTTCCTGGTCTACTTTGTACTCTATGACTTTCTCATTATTTGGTGCACACCTTGTATAACACATCAGTTGCCTCTACCAAGACATTTTCTGATACCCATTACAAAGGTAGCCCTTAACACTTTTTGAAATTACCTTTTGTAAACTATGGTATTTGTTAATAGTCAATGACATTACCTTTTTCAAACAAGCACACTTATTAATAATTTTTGACAAATACTTTTAATATCTCCTCATAAACTAAGTTATCAATTATCAGTCTCTGACAATACTTTTTTCTAAACTAAGATATTGGTTAACAGTCTTTGACATTACCTTTTCTAAACTAATATATTCATTAACAATCTTTCACATTACCTTTCAATGCCTCCTCATATGCTAACAGCCTCTGACATCACCCTTTCTAAACTAATGTATCCATTAAGACATTACATTTTCTAAACTAATGTATCCATTAAGACATTTCCTTTTCTAAACTCATGTATCCATTAACAATTTCTGACATTACCTTTCAATGGCTCTCATAAGGTAAGTTGACAGTATCTGGCATTACCTTTTCTAAACTAATGTACCTGTTGAGTCTTCGACATTACCTTTCAAAGAATCTTCCCAAACTAAGGTATCTATTAACAGTCTTTGACATTACCTTTCAAAGAATCCTCACAAACTAAGGTATCCATTAACAGTCTTTGACATTACCTTTCAACGGCTCCTCTTAAATAATCTGAAAGTGTACAAAGACATCTCTTGCTGGACTCAGAGGCACTAGTGAGTTCCTCCCCTGTCAGTTCCAACAGTACTATGAGCTCACAAACTAAGGTTTCCATTAACAGTCTTTGACATTACCTTTCAAAGAATCCTCACAAACTAAGGTATCTATTAACAGTCTTTGACATTACCTTTCAAAGAATCCTCACAAACTAAGGTATCTATTAACAGTCTTTGACATTACCTTTCAAAGAATCCTCACAAACTAAGGTATCCATTAACAGTCTTTGACATTACCTTTCAAAGAATCCTCACAAACTAAGGTATCCATTAACAGTCTTTGACATTACCTTTCAAAGAATCCTCACAAACTAAGGTATCCATTACAGTCTTTGACATTACCTTTCAACGCCTCCTCATAAATAATCTGAAAGTGTACAAAGACGTCTCTTGCTGGACTCAAAGAGTCACTAGTGAGTTCTTCCTCTGTCAGTTCCAATAGTACTATGAGCTCACTCTGCCCAGCGGTATTCATGCCTCTGGTTACAAAACACCAGCACACCTTGTTGACACAACAATCCACTGCAAAACAAAAACAGGGAAAAAAGCAATCAACAATGCAAACACTGTGCTTGAACAATGACGAGTGGGGGGGGGGGGGGGGGAGAGAGATAAAATAAAATCACAACTGAGACGAGATGTCCGATATTCCACATTGTGACATGACAAGCAGTCCAAACCAACAACCAGTGACCATAAATAACCAAACTCTTGAAAATGTAGAACATTACACATATCTTGGCAGTGTGGTGTCCCTGCCGGGAGGGACCGAAGAGGACATACAGTCACTTCTGAACAAAGCTAGAGCTGCTTTTGGAAGGATGAGGCAAATCTGGAAATCCAGCAATTACTGCAGAGGAACGAAACTCCGACTCTACAAGAGCATCATTTTGCCAGTTCTTCTTTATGGAGCGGAATGCTGGAGAATGACCAAAAAGGATGCACACAAGCTGTCCACCTTCCACCACACATGTCTACGTAGAATTATCAAAATTTTCTGGCCAGATACAATCTCAAACACTAAACTACTTCACAACCAAGAAACTTTAGACAGTATGATAACCAAGAGAAGATGGAAATGGCTTGGCCACGTTATGAGAATGAATCCTGATTTACCCGCCAAAACAGCTCTCACATGGACACCAGAGGGAAAGAGAAAACAGGGGCGCCCCAAAAACAACATGGAGATGAACGATGGAAAGTGACATGAGTGTGGCATCTTTGACATGGAAAACTGCAATGAAGATTGCACAGGACCGGAAAGCATGGAAAGTCCTCTCTGAAGCCTCATGTACCACTAGGCATAACGAGAACTGATGATGATGATGAGACGAGATGTCTGATATTTCACATTGTGACTTCTAGCGTCCTATTTTGGGGGTGTAGGGTGGGGCAGGGAGGACCACTACCCCTCAACAAAAATGCCATAAAAGGTGATCGATTAATCTAATCCTCCGTCCCCATGTGGGACGCAATGTTTTGTTATTTTAAAGCCCCACTCTAGCTTTGCCAGGGGCCCTAATTTAACCCAGCCTATGGGTTGAAGGGGTTTCTGGGACCTGTCCCCAGGGTGATCCTCATCTGAATGGTGGCACTTTGTGTCACCGGGTGTTTATCGCTCGGTGTTGATGTCCTGGTGGGGTAAAAGGTCGGTCAGTGAGTGATCAATTAAGAGTTTGCTGAAATCAGATGTGTTGCTTCCCTGTGTGGGTTTCTGACCCCATTGTGGGGGTAAAAAACAAAACAAAGAACAGACCCACTGCATCTTAGCAAAATGTTATACAAGTCGCAGTGCATCTGCCTGAGGTGCGAGGAACTAACAGTCTGCATACAAATAAGCCAGATCTGTGAAACCTGTGCACACAAAACTCAAGTTCTAGAGCAAAATTCAAGTCGAGATTTGGATGAACAACCAGAATTGTCCACAGAGTTTACAGCTGGTGAGCGTGAAGAAGGAGATATTTGTTGCTGCATGATCTCTTGTGTCCATGCCATGTCACACTCAAACACCTGAATACATACTGAAGATCTGCCAACTACAGCAAAGCCTGCGAGAAAACTCATGGCCAGAGAGAAGAAACATCCAGGACAAACTTTAGGAAACCCTTGGAGATTTGCTGCTGATATGATTGTTCATAAAGGTTTCTTCTTAGAGTCCATGCCATATGGTGTTGGAAGTCATGTCTATCCACAACCTTCTGTCTCGTGTACTTTCAATCAACTGATACAGATGATCCTCTATGCCATGACGTAAAACTGTCCAGCATCTTCTCTCTTGGTCTCGCTCTGCATCTCCTCCCCTTCCCTACTGTCACAATTTACTCCAGATTTTTCCTTCTCATCAAATGACCGAAGAATGTAGATTGTCTCTTTCTGATGTTGGCAATCAGTTTTTTTTTTTGTGAGTCAGTTTCTTTCAGGTCAGAGTCATTACACTTTTTAACTGTCTAGGGTATTCTCATCATATGTCTATAAAACCCCGTCTTCGAAGCTTCCAAATTAGTTTTTTACTAATCTACTAGTAATACTGCCTAGTAAAACCAAAACTTCTTCTTCAGCATTCCGAGCTCTTGAGATTCATTGCTTTAGATATCACCAGCCTCCATTCATCTCTCTGATTGGCTTTCTCTTTCCAGTTGGTGACACCAAGTGTTTGCTAGTCTTCTAGACATTATCGCTCCATCGTCTTCTTGGTCTGTCTCGTGGTCTACAACTTTTCTGCTCCTTTGTGTATACAGTTTTTATCTCTTTGTCATTTGACATTCTCTCAATATGCCCCAACCATTTCAGTCTATTACATCTCATGAGGTCAGTGATCAATGATGATTTAAACAGATTATGAATTTCATCGCTTCTTCTCACCCTCCATTCCCAGCTGTTTTTTGTTTTTTTGATGGGTCCAAAGATTTGTCATAATATCCTGTTTTTGAAAATTGCTAATGAGGCTTCATCTTTTTTTAGTTGTGCTCCAAGTTTCAGAGCCATATAAAACAGCTGGTCTTATCTACGTTTTATATATTTTGATCTTGGTGTTGCGAAACAGAGATTCTGACTTTAGCAGCTGTTGACGGGGACAGTATACTTTATTTCCAGATTGTATTCTAAATTGCATTTCTTTTCTCAGCATATTGGAGCAGTTGAAGTTTGTCCCCAAATACCTATATGTTTCTGTTTGTTTCATATCATCGACTTGTATGTGGCCAGAGTTTATATCCTTTCCCTATCTTGTTATTATCATGTATTCTGTCTCATCTTGATTGATAACTAGTCCCATTTTGTGAGCTGCTTCTTTTAAGAGATTCAGTGTTTTTACAGTCTCTAGTTCATTTTCTCTAATGATATCAATGTCATCTGCATAACTAAGTATTCTTGTAGTTTCTCCTAAAGTACACTCTTGTTTCAATTTCCTTATAATTTTCTCCAGGGCCAAGTTGAAAAGAAGTGGGGACAGAGCATCATTTTGCTTTAAACCAGATGTTATTTGAAAATGATCTGACTTTCTGCCTTTATATTTTACTATATTATAAGTGTCTTCCATAGTTTGGTCATGGTAATTAACTTCTTTGGTATTCCAAAGTCCTTCATAGCATTCCATAAACTGTTTCTATGTACACTATCCTACGCCTTTTTAAAATCCACAAAAATATTATGTACAGCTCTTCTATATTCCCAGTTTTGCTCTGCTATTTGTTGTAAAATAAATATCTGATCTATTGTTGATCTGTTCTGTAAGAAACCCGCTTGGTAATCTCTTAATATGTCTTTGACGTATGGTTTTCGCCTGTTTAGCGGTATTCCTGGTAGTATCTTATAGCTTGTAGATAATAATGATATTGCTCTATAATTTTCACACATACTAGTAATTCGCATAACAAGCAAAACAAATTGCAAAATAATGACTTGCTTAACGAGCGACGTTTTGCATAACGAGTGGCGAGAAGAGGGGAAGTCCCAGATTGTGCGCATGTTACATCAGTCTGTGTTTAGCACTTGTTCCAGTTGCACCGTATTGTCGCTTGTGATCACACATTTTCTCAAACTTGTGTTATATTGTGATATATGTACATGAAACCTCCGGCCTACAAGATGACTTCCCTGAAAAGTTTAAGTTCATCAAGATCCAGTTTCTGCCTCCCAACACCAGTCCGTTAGTCCAGCCCATGGACCAGCAAGTTATTTCTAACTTTAAGAAGCTCTAGACTAAAGCACTCTTCGAGCATTGTTTTCAGGTGACGGAAGGGACTAACCTCACTCACTCTCAAAGAGTTTTGGAAAAATCACTTCCACATCGTTGCCTGCCTCAACAAGGCGGGGGAAGGGGTTACCAAGAGAACCCTAACTTCTGCTTGGAAGAAGCTTTGACCTGAGAGCGTTGTCGATTTGTGACTTTGAGTGGTTCGAAACAGTTCCTGTGGAACCTGTAGTCAACGAGATTGTCTTTGGCCACTATCATGGGATTGTAGGTGGATAAAAGTGATATTGAAGAGCTTGTAGAAGAGCACAGCCAACAGCTGACCACCAAAGAGCTTATGAAGTTGCATTGTGTTTCACAGCAGGAGGTTTTGGAGGAAAGTTTGTTAGAGGAGGAGGAGGAGGTAACAGAAAAGCAACAATCTTCTGGCAAATTAAAGAAATGCTGAAAGCATGGGACGCTGTTGCATCTTACATTTAGAAGTATCACCCTAATAAGGAAGTGGCTATGCGCGTTGTAAATTTAGTTAATGATAGTGCTGTGTCGCATTTTCGCCAGATTTTTTGAAGCGTCGGAAAAAACAAATGTCTTTGGACATCTTTCTAGTAAAAAAAAATAATTAGCTATGTATCATTATTATTTCAACTTTTTTTCTTTTTTTTAATGCAAATCGAATTTGCATTCCAGGTGGGTTCGTTCCGCGTTTGAAGAAAAGAGGAAGATGATTCACTCTCCTTAACAATATGGATATAATTTTCTTTGAATAAACGCTATACACAACATTTTGTGAGTATTTATTTCGACAAGGAACACATTATCAAATTTTATATTAATTTATATAAGAAACATTGTTTCGCATAACGAGTGTTTCGCTTAATGAGTATGATTCTAGAACAAATTATGCTCGTTAAGCGAGGTTCCACTGTATTTGGTTCACATGTTAGTATCTCTTCCTGTGGATAAGTATTTAGTGGAGTTTCACAATTTAACAGTTCAGTAAAGTATTCCCTGCATTTAAAAACTTTCTGGATTTGTTATTCTGATTTGTTAGCTTCCATATCCCTAACAATGTTGTTCATGTATTCCCATTTCTATAATTTCTGTAGCTTCTTTATATTCTGATCTATAGTTTTCTTCATTTTGTAAAACCAAACCATTAAAAAAAAATCTGGGATTGGTTATCCTGTAAAGAATTTGCAACTAACTTTTTAAATGTTACAAAATAACCAGCAGTCAAGTTTTGGTGACCGATAGTAAATATACTCTATTCATTATTCTGATGCACACATTATTGTTTTTATAAACTAACTTTAGTGAGGCTCTAAATGATGTAGTTGGAACGAAATACAAAAATAACTGGCAAGCGTGCCATGTGATAAAACAAAACTTACAAGTGATAATCTTGATTCCAACAGCCAGATTTTTGTTCACCGCATAGTATATCAGGGGTCCCTCTTCAGCTGTTGAGATAACATTTAATGAAACAGTACTAGCAACTTCGTAACACTTTCAGTAATACATTTTAAAGATGTTAGTAAGTTATGTTTATAAATTGAAGTCATGTGCATATAAATGGGTGTGTGTGTATGTATGTGTGTATATATATATATATATATATATCAGACGCAATGGTGTAGCAGCTGGACATTCCCCTGAGGATAGGAAGGTCGTGGGTTCGGGTCCTGATGGAGCCAGATTTTTTCAAAATGACCTTGGCTTCCAGGTCGACCTCAGGAAGTAAAGATGACCAGTGAGTTTTGACCGCATTCTTGGGGACACCTGGTGAAGTAGTCAAGATATTTCTCGTGCTCTGAAAGTCATGGGGTCGTTTCACGACTGCTTTTTTCAGTTAATGAGTGCAATTTTTACACAGACCCCCAGGGAACTGTCACCGCAGCTATGGAGTTTGTGCTTTGTGTGATCCTCTTGGCAGGCAGCTGGCCATTCTGCGGATAGACAATGAGGCGTATAGGATCAATTTAATAAAACTGGATAACCCCAGTGCAATGAAGATGATCCACCACTTTTGACTCAAAGAAGGATACCTTTGCACACCAAGGAAAATCTAGTCAATACTATGTTCAGCCAAATCTATGCTATCAATATCAAATATGGAACCTTTTCACTAACAACTATAGTGCAAAATCATACCAACAGAGATGAGGTGTCTTAGAAGAGCTGATGGAGTAACAGGAAGAGACACAAATTAAAAAGAAGGGAAACAGATTAAAAATGAAGACTCAAACTTATTCGCGTTCACTTTAGTCTTGTTCCGAACCCGAGTGCTGTGTCACATTCATTTTACAGATCTGACTTACCTGTATGCAGATTGCTGGTTTCTTGCCTGTTAGACAGATGCACTCTGACTTCGAAGAAAACGCCAATTAGTCGACTCTTACGACATGCTGGTTGGGGAGGCAGTGGGTCTATTCTTGTTTTCCTCACAATGGGGCCCGGGAACCCACAAGGGGAAAGACTTGGACTGAAACCAAGTCCCACAATTCATCAAACAGTAACAGATGAGCTGGTCTGGCTGTCTGACAAGAATGGTATCAAATGCCATAGAAAGCCATGATGAAGAAATATAATGAACACAGAGCAAGGAGAAACCCACATACAAAAGAAAATTTTTTTAAAATATATCATCACCACATAGCAGGTCCTTTGCTGAATGTCGCTCTCATCACAGTCTGCCTGAAAGAAACTTGTTCTCTCACCAGCTCTTCCACCTCATGTACTTTCAAGGACTACTTTATATCCTGTGCCTATCTTCATGTTGGTCTACCCCTGCCAATCCTTCCTGGCACCATATATTTGGATAATAATATTATAAATAAATTATATAAAAATATATACTTTAATACTTTTTCCAACATTTCCACATTCAGTTAACCAAAAGTTAACAAATGGAACACTATATAACATTCCAGTACTCACATTTGTAATCCGCTGTATAATCAATGTTATTCAAAGCGTCATCCGTTTCCAAATAACCTGTTCCTGAAAATAGAATAACATGTTTGTTACACTTCATATATTATGTTGTGCTGGCCAAAAGAAGTAAAAAGCACAGCCATGCTGTAAACTGGCATAACATAATGATGTCCTCAGATGAACAATGAAGAAGAAATACCACATAAAAGGAGACAGATACGAAGAGAAGAAGAATGAGCCTGTATAACCAATTCTTAGTTCTTTGAAAATCAAATTCCTTCATTCATACGTGGATATGCATTTCTCTCCTTCCTCTTCTTACTCCATCTCTCTCAAGTGTAAACACAAACAAAGTAAACACTGGACAGAAATAAAAAAAAAGTATATTAGGCAAAACATTTGAATGGCCAAATGTTGTTTTTGTGATAAGTTAGGATTTTGCTCTTGTTCTGTAAGTGCCAATGAATACCTGTGAAAGGCAGATGTGGTTATACTGTGCTATGTGGAGGCATGGGACTCGCAGCCCATAGCAATGAAGAGTGTGACTAGCAAGACTTGCCAGAATTTTAAAGTTTTAAGATGGCTTGGCTAACATGTGTAAAATACAACAGCCACAAAAACCAACCAAATGTGAATGAACAGAATGTGGAGCCAGCTGCATGAAATTGCAGAGGATAAGACAAGTTTGAGCCAGCTGGCTGAGGTTCTTTTGCTCCACTGGGAGATAAAGTGTGGACAAATATGTATAAGAGAAGTGGCTGTCCAGGGGTTAGAATGATGGGTTTTCATGTGGGAGCAGCTGTTAGGCCATATCTACGGCTAGAGGCTGCATCTATGCCCCGGCTATATTCAAGGCCCCCAGCAGAAGCCAGGCTGGGGTTTCAAATAACAAAAAATTGCATCCCACATGGGGACGACAGAACATCATATATAGCCATGCAGCCCTGAATCCTCAGGTTTGAGACTCATCTGTCCTATAAAAAGTGGTACTCATTGTTGTCAATCAGCATGTCCTGTACAGAACATAACTCTTGTCACAGCCTACTTGAAAATCTCACTTTTTCTCACCAATTCTCCAGCCCTATGTGCTTTCATATTCAATGCATCTTTATCTTGTACCCACCTTCATGGAGGTAAGCAACTGCCTTATTTGTTCCCTGCATTCTGCACCCTCCATTACTGCTCACTCCAGGCCACTATGATGTTTAACACTGCCAAAAAACCTTAACTTTTGAGACAGGATGCTGTTTATGAGCCTATTCACCTCGACATTCAGATAATTCAAGATCTTAGTGTTTTTCTTCTTCCTGATCCATGGTAATCATAGCAATTTTATGTGGAATTTCAGTTGAAAAGTGGTACTATACACAATAAAAAACAGTTGTCTTCTTTTACGGTTGTTAATTTCCCCCCCCCCCCTCCTTTCCACACGTCTGCTCTAAGACTTCCTAGAAGTGGAAGAACTTATAAATAACAGAAAACATCTCAGATTTAGATATCACAATCTTATTACCTGTTTCCCTTTGTAATATAAACAAGGGAGGCAATCCTTCATCAGGAATCAAACTTGGACTACGGAACAAGCTGTCTTCTTTCTGTTTCAGTACCTGAGGTGAAACTATAGGAAGGAAAACAGAAGATCGAAGATCACTGCAGTGTTTCCTTTTGGTAAATTTGAACAATATACAAACAATATACGTAAGACCTGGCATATTTCGCTGCATCTTGTTTGGTGTGTACTAAAGTAAAATTGAACATAATGAGGCAAATAAACTTTGTGCAAACAATAAGACACAATCGTAAACATGAGTTTGCCATGACAAATAGGCAGACACTTTTGAGTGTAACTGATTTTTTATTTCAGTTGCAAGGATTAATTTTTTCTCATCTCATTATATTTAACTGTTGGCATCTGTGGCTTAGGCGTTGCGAGCGAGCTTCGTAATGTCGGGGTGTCGGGTTCGATCCCAGCTGCGGGCCTTGCGCCAGTTTCGACAGTGGTATTGAGAAGCTGACCGTTCAGAAAGCAATGGCAAACTATGGATGTAAATTTGCCTAGAAAAACTACAACAGCCAAAAAATGCTGAGGTTGGTTCTGCAATGTCCTGTAAAGGATACGCAACTAATTTTTTTATATTCAACTGCTACTAAGTATGCACCTAATTAATTGTGCAATCTGTGTTTGTGTCTTCTTTGTTAAAAAACAAAAGAATCCATTTTACAGATCTGGCTTATTTGTTTGCAGACTGTTGGTTTCTCATCTCTCAGGCAGATGCACTCCGACCTCGAGGGAAACAAATCAAATTAGTTTACTTTGATAGAGGCAGTGGATCTCCTCTTTGTTCCCCCACAATAGGACCTTGGAATTTCTTAGGGGAATTTGTACCTACTTCTTTAAGATGTCTTAACTGTGTTTATCATTTATTTGTGGTACCGACTGTCTAGCTTCGAAGTCAGTGAACATATTTCACAGTTCGATTTCCACATCATGTAGTTTACAGTGCCTTGCACTCTGAATGTCGTGGGTTCATTTCACAGCTGCGTCGCTCAGTTTATGAGTGCAATTTTTACCAAGATCCCTGGGAATCGCCGCCGGAGCTATGAAGTTCATGCTTTGTGCAGCGCTCTCGGCAGCCTACACAGCAGCAACGGATGCCAGATGGAATGCAGAAGAAGAACAGGACAACACATGATTGAGGATTGAACTATCATTCGCAGTAATTGCACCCGCATTATATCACAAAAACTGTTCCCCGTGTGGGTTCCGGGGTCCCACTGTGGGGAAAACAAGAAAAGACCCACTACCTCCACAACAAGCATGTTGTGAGAGTCGACTAATTGGGGTCTTCCTTCAAAGTTGGAGTGTATCTGCCCGAGAGGTAGGTAACCAACAGTCTGCATACAAATATACAAGATATGTAAAACAGATGCACATGCAAAACTCGGGTCCTGAAACAAAGCCAAAGTCCAGAAATAGACGAACAACCAGGTCTTTCTGCCCGGGTTTATAAACAGTGAACACAAACAACAAACAACAACAAAAGCTGTCATGGCTTCTAGGATATTTAGAAAAAGACTGTTCTCATGTCATTCGTGCAGTGGTACGAGAGTTGCACTGTGAAAGAGACAGGGTCCTCACCACATGATATTTCCAAAGACGCCCATATTCACAGCAGCCAACCTCCAGGAAGACAGCATACATTTTCAAGAATTGTATAATTCAATAATTCAGGTGCCATCTCTACAATGAAGGTTGGCTGCAATGGATCTCTCTAACACCCCCCCCCCCCATCTCATTTATTGGTTGTACATGCTCTCAGACTGCTGTCTGTTCATCTCTTGATGTTCTCCTCCCCCTTGCATGGTTGTTTACCTCTTGTTCCCTTGCTTTAGACTTTTCCCTTCTATGTGGTTTAAAAAGACTGACAAAACAGACTGCATATGAAACTTTTTACAGTAGAACATCAGGGAGGAAGGCGAGAAGAAGACCAAGAAAGGTATGGATGAATGGTGTAGCTAAAACCTGCAAAAAGATGAACAAATCCATCACTCAAGCTACCCGAGAAGCGCAAGACAAATACGAAAAAACCATGACACTGGGCTACAACCTGGTATCAGTGAGACGACAAAAAAAGAAGAAGAATCCTGTTTTCCTTCAGTCATTTCAGAACCCCCGTATTTGATTTACTATGTTAGTTAGTTAATCAATTTACTATGTTAGTTAGTTAATCAACAGATTATCCTAACTGCACATCAGAAAAGTCCACAAACACCTGGATCCCATCTTCAGTATATTCCTCAGCGTGTGGCAACTGATAACACCAGTTTTATGTTGGCTTACTATTCTTCTTTGGCTACCTGTTTAGTGTTCATGTCAGACGACACTTCTTGTGACCTGAAATTCTTGTAGTCTTTTGAATGTTGCTGAAATTTGATTTCTTTTTTTGATTCAATGTAAGAGAAAACCAAAAATGGCATACCCTGTTGCTGCGTTGCCCTCCTTGCAGTTCTAGCAGACCTACGAGTTGGCCGTGCTTGATTAGGTCCATCTAGCTCTGTCAGATCACCACCGGGCCGAATCCCATCAGAGAACATTACTTGCTTAGGTTCACCAGATCGCCTCTGACTACCTGCAACAAGTTATTTTGAAATATTTATTTCAATGACATTATAGGACATGGTCATGTCTGCATCCTAGGGAATACCTACAAAGGTTAGAGCTTCAAAATGCCCGGTTCAATGCAAGCTGTGGGCAATATGGCAGCAGGCTAATTTCTGTGGCTGTGGCTTTAAAAAATGGTATGAAGCACTGACTGTTCAGGAGGTAATGGCAAAATCATTATCTTCTATACTTACAGATAAGAGTAGGCAACATTGTTTCCCCATCTCACACGATCATCAGAATCATGGAATCAGGTCAATGTTCTTGACTCGCCATATGCATGTAGCCCAGCCATCCACAAATTGATCTTTCAGCCTTTCTGTTGTCAGCTGCTACCAAGTTCTCTAGTCCATTGCTTGGGATTTGATCTCTCTGCCTTCCTGTTGCTCTCATTCCGTCAATCCTGCTAGCTGCTACCAAGTTCTTTAGTCCACCTCTTGTCATTGATCTCTCTGCCTTCCTGTTGCTCTTTTTCCATCAATCCTGCTAGCTGCTACCAAGTTCTCTAGTCCATTTTTTGTGATTTGATCTCTCTGCCTTCCTGTTGCTCTCTTTCCATCAATCCTGCCAGCTGCTATCAAGTTCTCTAGTCCATTCCTTGTGATTTGATCTCTCTGTCTTCCTGTTGCTCTCTTTCCATCAATCCTGCCAGATGTTACCAAGTTCTCTAGTCAATTCCTTGTCATAACATGTGCAAAAATGGGCAAACTACTGAATGGAAAATTGTCTAGTCAAACCATAAGCAACAAACAACTGCCAGGTGGTTTACAACATCAAGTAAAGGACAGGCAACTAGCTTTACAGGAGGAGATAATACATTACCACAAAAAATGCTTGCCTTATGCTTAAACCGCTAGCTAGAGTAGTTGCCGTGGCAAGCATGCCTGCAGGGTGTCTCTGCACTTTTGGCAGTTCCGCACAACAAACAGCAGCAAAGGAATAATATTCTATGACTCCCCTGACTTGAGCTGGGGTTTAGAATTCTTTTTATTATTATTGCAGCCGTTGATGAAGACTTTGTTCAAAATATTTGGCTGTATCTGTGTACCTTTTCCCTTAACCCCTCCCTGTGCTGTGCTTCTTAATCCCTGTTTATGCTTAGTGAATTAATTTCTTGATATCAGCACAACTCAGGTAATCTTCTTCTTCTTTTTCTTCAGCATTCCGAGCTCTTGAGGTTCATTGCTGCAGATATCACCCGCATCCACTCATCTCTCTGGTTGGCATTCTCTTTCCAGTTGTTAACACCAAGTGTCTGCTGGTCTGTCTGGACGTTATCTCTTTATCATCTTCTTTGTCTGCCTCGTGGTTTACATTCATCTCCCTTGTGTATACAACTTTTTACTTCTCAGTCATCTGACATTCCTTCAATATGCCCTAGCCACTGAAAGATAATCACATTTCCATTATCACATCAAATGGGTCACTTTGTAGTTGCTCAATTTCTGTGCCACTGAAAACCACAGAATGGCCATCACCGTCCCTTGTGAAAAACAGCTAAAACAGACTGCAAGTCTGCAGCAAATCAATTACACACACATTAAATGTATATGGCAGCCATCAGAAGTGCCTACACAAACAATCCGATACTAGAAATGCAGTTTATCGTCGATGGAAGCAGTATTTACAACAGATTAGTAGCTGCACATGCAATTAACCAAATAAGGCAACACCAGTTCTGTGACAACAGGCCAATCAGCATTTATGAATCTGCAATTGAGAACAAAATAAAAGCAAAGAGAACAAATAAGCATTACTGTTTGTTATAATGACTTGGACACTTGTTTTTGAATAAGGTCATGATAACCTGACATTTCAGAGCATGGTACAGAGGAAGCTATGTAAGGAAAAGAAGAGAAGAAACAGAAACTTACCAGAAGTTCTCAGCACACCCGTGGGCACCATGACAACCGGTGGGTTCGCATGGTTGCTGGCCTGCTGGTTGGGTGGCACTTTAGAGCAGTACTCATTGGGGTTGTTGGGGTTGGGACAGCGGGGGTTGGGGCCGGCACTGGGAGCTGCAAAACAAAGAAAATGTGTGTGTGCTAATCTTTAACCAAACATAATCCCTGTGTGGGTTCTAGAGCCCCCCTTTGTGGGAGAAACAATATCTTCTACTTCAGGTTCACCGGCTGCAAACTGTGGCGTAAAGTTCTGGTTGTCTGCCCACTTTTGGTCTTGTTCCAGAACTTGAGATTTGCGATCACATTAATTTTACAGTTCTGACTGATTTGTATTATAGGGAGGCACTGGGTCTTGAATTGTTTTCCTCAAAATGGGGTCTCCGAAACCTCATGGGGAAGAAAAGAAATACCCCCCCCCCCTCTCCCACCATGCACTTTGTGAAGACTAATCAGAGGTTTGGTGTAATAAGATGTGTTGGGCCCAAAGGTGCAAATATCACAGCCCAGTTGTAAACCACACCACTTGGCAACTGCTCTTTTAAGGACAAATGCAGAAGATGAAGAAATAAACATCTGGTGAATTATCATTATTCCATGTCATTAGGGTTTTCTATACAACCTCCTTGTTTTGTCCTTTAGGCTCCTCTGGAGAACAGCCCCCCAACTATCTCATGCAAAAAACATCTGTCCTTTGCCACCTGTAAATCCATTCTTTTCCGCTCAGTATTCTGCTCATTCTCTTCATGTGTTTTTAGGACTTTCTCCAATCAGCCAGTCCCAATGAATGAACTTTATATGACTGTCATGTTTCCTCAACATGAGTCCAATCCATTACTGATGTATTTTCCTCCCCTTTTGATTCACCGTGGTATTTCATTGTGAGAATTAATACAGTAATATATAAATACAGGTTAGCACCATAGTAAGCAACAAACATCCACGTTCAGGCATAGTGACTTTTCGTTCAATATGGTGGATAGGCAGGATAATCTAATTAGCTCTGTAGTAATTTTTACTCCAGGAAATGGTTTGCTAATGCAGTTTCCACATATGGAGTCTACAGTTTCACTGCCTTAGCTACCAAGTGCTTGGTGTAGCACTGTGAGCTGTGTATTTCTTTTGGAATGCTTTTTATTTATGCCTGTAACATTTGTGTAGTGATATTTTTTTTAAAAATGGTGGGTGGCTGGTTTGTATTTTGGCTGAAGAAATACCATGGGAAATAATTTTGCATGTCTATGACAAACTTATCGTAACTATTTCTGCCAACCACAAACTGCAATTCTGGTAGTGACCGCTGGTGTTGGTATCTCTAGCAGTTGGCTTATGCATTTATGGTGTGTGCATGTTTCTGAACTTTGCAGGAGCTAATTGTTCACCAGTTTTCAAATAGGACAGTGAAGGGAATTTTGTGTAATTTTTATTGGCACAGGAACAGAGCAATCATAGGGTGACCCGCTTTCCGTGAAACTGAAACATCTGCCGCGGCCATCACCACCACCACTACTACTACTACCAGAGACATTCAGTGGGGCAGACAGGACACAGAAAGATAGAAATACACACAAAGAATTACTCCATTAAAACAATGTTCTTCACACTTTGTAAAATACATACCCAGATTTAGCTGTATATGACATTCTAAACACACCCGTGCTTCTTTGTTCTCCATGTACGGCAGATATGCTTTCTGGCTGCAGCAAACAGAACACAGGACCTACCATAGAACACAAAGTATATGTTTATACACAGTCTGACAATTAAATAGGGAGATCAATGTAATGATGGCACAAAACAAAAACAACATCTTTTTCTGCTCTGGTCCTGTTCTGCCTTTCAGCATCAGGTTTTCAAGAGGCATCAGAAGCCATCTTTGGTATGTGCTATGTTGAATGTTGAATTGAGAATCAACATCACAGCACTCAGGACACTCCCAGAAGTGCTCAGTCCCCATCTTCATCAGCAAGCGAAGAGTTCGGTATGTGCTAAGTAGAAGCTGGTATTTATGGCCTCAAGAGGAGCGGCTGACTCAACGGTAGGAATGTTGGGCTCTCAAGCGGGAGACCCGGGTTCGAATCCTCGGTAAGGCTTGGGATTTTTTTTACCATGGGCTAAATAAAATCCTTACCCGCACAGCCTTGGTGACAGCACTATCCATGTGGCCGTAAATACTCAGGCTCAAAGACCCCCTACTGCCCACACCGCAAACATAGTAAAATAAGGCAGTAATTAGCAGTTTTATTAATTTTTTATTTATGGCCTGAGATATTTCTTTTATCCATCACCTGTGTGATCAACCTCTAGCCCTGCTTCTATAATGTCTAAGTGACATGGCTCTCTGTGGTGCACTATCTGGTGGTAGTCTTAACATCTGAAACACCATCCATAAAGCAAAACTCTTTACTGCCTAAATTTACAGGAAGGAGGTGGGGAGGAAGCGGCCTTAATCCTAAGAATTTAGAGCCAAATGGCTACTGCAGTTGCCATGAACTGTGCCAGTTAGGAGGATTTTATTTGTTTCCCCCAAACAAGAAATAATCCTTCACCCTACTTAGGATTCTAACCTTGGCCTCCTCAATGACAGCCCAGTTGACCACTAGGACAGCTACTCCTCTTGTCGATTTTTTTTAAACAGGATTTAACCAAATATACTTCCCTATAATGCGTCACCTATAATATATAATACTGTTCAAGGAATATACACACCAAATGTCATGCTTCTACTTTTTATATTAGTCAAAATTTTGGGATTTTACACGTACAGCAAATGAAAAAATCAAACTGAGAAAACTTAATTTTAAAGTCAAATAAAATATGGTTAATATAGAATTAAAGTGTTCTTACGCAGTTTTTTTTTTTTGGGGTGGGTTTGGGGAGGGGGGAAGGGGTAGGGGGGGATAGAAAATGTCAAATACATTTAACAATTTATGCACCAGCAACATAAATTTTGCCTTCTTTTATTAGAGAAAAAAAATGAAAAATGGCTTTCTCAGGGCGACACAGTTAAACATGCGTACCGAACCATCTTCAGTATTTTTTTAGAAGTAAAACTAGAATATGTGAAGATCCAACACTTCACACCATAATGGCAGTAACTGTCATGGAACTATCTTTACTTTTTTGTTTCTTCATTTACCCTCAAAAGGGTGGATGTCATATTGTGTTTCAGTTTACAGAAAGGCTGTCTTACAACACATCTAATTTCACCAAGTTCTTAATTAGTGGCCATTTATGACATGCTTGTTAAGGGGCAGTGGAAGGGGGGAGGGAGGGAGATTGGACCAGGAACCACTACAGCAGTGACTACCTTTACCGATAAGTCAATATTCTACAGGACAACAAAACACAAAAAAGGCAGACAAACGCTACCTTCCCGCAGACCCGACAATGATGTCGTCTCTTCCACATGGTGAACATTTAACAATTAATGCACCAGCAACATAAATTTTGCCTTCTTTTATTAGAGAAAGAGAGAGCGTGAGACAGAAAGATCATAAATTTAATATTAGCAGAAGGTAAATTTATCAAAATTCAATGATATGCTAAGTTTGTTTTCATGAACTCCTCTAGGTTTTATATGTTTCTTCTTTTGTCCAAAGCTGCATCCCTTTTTTTTGGCATGATAAATTCTATCTTAAATAAGAATATTTTCACTAAAATTAAAACATTAGCAAGTAAATTGCAAAAGGTAAACAAACAAGTCTGCCATTTTTTAAAAGACCCATGCTGTGTGCATGCATAATATATTCGTCTGCAAGGAAATCTCTAATAGGGACCAATCAAATGTGGCCAAATTATACAGCCAATGAAATATCAGTATGGTCAATACTTTCTAAGTTTCGAATCTAGCCGGCAAAGTTGAAACCTACGACCACCGGACAGACAGGCAAATGTGACATTAGGTCCGCCAAATAACTAAATGTATCCATATTCATTTTTTAAGTGCACTTTCATGAGGAAAATAGGTGAATTAACCACTAAACACAAATGGAGCAAAAAATTAACTACTTTCCTTCCCTATGACCATAATGCAAGTGGTCTGGTCATGAGTTATTTAGCCACATGGAGCAAAGAGACGTCATTATGATGTTACAAAGACCTAACAAAATTTTTTATGCAATTTTTTTTTTCTAAACCCCAAATAATATCTCAATTTGTGTGTGTGTGTTTGATGGTTAGGAGAAGGATAAATATAATCATACCAACCATGTCTACACACTATGTAGCTGCAACCAATGACAAAGCTGTTAAATAGGTGTAGTGGCCACTGCTCAAAGGCTCAATGTCATCAAAAACTCATAAAAGTCGGGGGGGGGGGGGGGGATGGCTTTCTCAGGGCGACACAGTTAAACATGCGTACCGAACCATCTTCAGTATTTTTTTAGAAGTAAAACTAGAATATGTGAAGATCCAACACTTCACACCATAATGGCAGTAACTGTCATGGAACTACCTTTACTTTTTTGTTTCTTCATTTACCCTCAAAAGGGTGGATGTCATATTGTGTTTCAGTTTACAGAAAGGCTGTCTTACAACACATCTAATTTCACCAAGTTCTTAATTAGTGGCCATTTATGACATGCTTGTTAAGGGGCAGTGGAGGGGGGGGGGCAGTGGAGGGAGATTGGACCAGGAACCACTACAGCAGTGACTACCTTTACCGATAAGTCAATATTCTACAGGACAACAAAACACAAAAAAGGCAGACAAACGCTACCTTCCCGCAGGCCCGACAATGATGTCGTCTCTTCCACATGGTGAACCTTCCCTGACACATCATGCAAGCAACTGCTTCAGCATCTGGAATCCAAAATGGGGCCACAGAACCTAAGTTATTATACAACAAAGAAGCATTGGAGGCTAGAGAAATGCTGATGTCCTCTGTCCCCGGCACAGGAGTGGTACCAATGGCTTCATCGTATAGTCTTTCTGGGGTTGTAGGGAGGCTGGGCAGGCCTGGTGATGCTGAAATAAAAATATGTATGATTTACAAAAATGGTATGAGAAAGCCAAAACAGATCAAACAGAGGGAAGGGTAATTACAGTCAGCAAATTATGAAGAAAAGAGCTGCATCATGGAGGAGATTTGGGCCTCTCACTTACTTAGTCGATCCTCTTCTATCCTGAGAGGCAGATGTTTGCCAAAGAGATCACCAAACCTCTCTATCAGCAGTTTTAGTTTGTTACCATTAAGCTCCGTCTGGGTTTTTTCCCTGTGATTTGGGCCTCGCTATGTCATACTCCCAAAGAGAGTAGTTTATGCACATAACCAACAATGAGGAGATGGCACACACACATAAAAAATCGTAATTATAAAGAAAAACATTTTCCTAGAGCGCAAAATAAATGTAAACTGGATCAGTCAATGTATTTTGGTGCCTTGAAAACAGCATATGGAAAATGTAAAAAAAAAAAAAAAATGAACGCAAAAATTTTACCACACAAAGCCGAACTTTAAAAAGCTTTAAAAAAAAAGCTACAGGTGTATCTACAGATGTTGCCCCTGGAAAATCCAACCATGGCAACCACTTATATACTTCGGTCCTCGAGGGAAGGCAGAGGCAAATTATGAGCATTTCCCATCATCCACAGAGGTTTCCATAAATGCTGAACCAACACATGATGCTCTGGTCCTTGGCACATCCAACCAATCGTCATGTCCTGTACGTTTCTACTTAACCTCACATACAAATGTTAAGCTTCCCACACTCATGGGCGGCATCTCCTGGAAATCAGAAAGGAGCAGCCCACAGGTCCAGAACTTTGATGACCCCACAAACAGGCACATTTTTCTTCAGTACACTGTACACTTTTCACATTGTTTTATCAGGACACTTAGCATGATGGTTTAGAACAAGCATGCAACAGACTTGGTTTCAATTATTTGGTCCTAACACTCTGACCAGTAGGCTCAATGATAACGTATATTTAACGGTCAGACATTTAAGACTTTGCTGTTATGCCATCTGGTGGACATTTGGGCCTAATCAGCTGACTGAGAGTGGCAGATAGTCGTGGTGTACCTCAACATAGTGATGATGACGATCGACAAATGATGTATGTATGTAACATAAGATACTACCTGCAGGAGATGTTTCTCATCTAAGCTGCAAACAAATCTCTTGGTCTAGGGCTGAGCCGCAGCAGTTCAGTAGTTATTTCACTCAGATGTTTTAACCAAGAGTTGTCATTTAGTAGTATATTCCGCTAGCGGGCTTTACGCATGTTCCAATGAATTAGTTTTGATATACGTTTTCACCCATGCATTGAGGGTAGGCTGATGACAGCCACAGGATTTCTGGGCACTGAATCTCTGGAGGCCACCAACTTCGAGATCCCCTGCCAGCTTGGTTTATGCTCATTTGAGCCATTATCTGTGGCACAAGACAGGGACCTGTGGGAGGAGGTACTGAGTAACTCCTTACACACATCAAACAACCTTAACTTTCAATCATGCCTATGATTGAAATCATTGCGCTACACATGATACAGTCTGTAACATCATCATCAATCAGCTGGTCCTCTAAGGAACATCACTCTCGTCACAGCAAGCCTAAAAGTCTTTTCCTCTAGCCAATTCTCCAGTTCTATGTTCTTTCACAGCCAATGCCTCTCAATGCCTTCTAGCCATCTTTACGGAGGTCTGCCTGTGCTTCATTTTCCGATAACTGTGCACTACATCATCATTTTCTTCAGGCCACCATGACGTCTAACATGACCAAAATACCTCAGCTTACAGACTGGATGCTGTTTATGAGCCAAATCTCAGTCTGTAATAAGAATAATATTTACAATTCTTCTTCTTCATCACCAGGCGTTCTATCAGAAAACTTATATCGGGGGGCCAGTAGCCTTGATTAAAGTTACTGTGCAGTCCAAATCTCAATGTGTACCTTACAGCTTTGTCTTGACTAAGGGTGGAACAGGCTTCTTTGTTAGTAGTATACAGTTTACAGTTTCAAAGTATGTGCTCAGAATTTTCAGGTGACAGCAGGAGTCACCAGTGCACAAAGCATAGGCTTGGGCAGAACAATGTCCTATGCAGATGATATCCTTGTGGACCATCGAGGTAGAAATAGAAACCGCTCTACAACATGAACTAGTCAGACTCAGTGAGTGGTGCCAGGAACAAGCAAACCTGTCAAAGTCCTCCTTAACACGGTTCTCTCTGAATACCCCCCCCCCCCCCATCACTACCAGTACATCTACGCCAGCAGTCGTAACATGTAAGTTGTTTACACTGAAAGAATGGACAGGATGAAATACATTTGACAGATGCTTGTCATTTTAGTATCACGTAGACTTGGAGCCATGAAAGGTCAGATAGCACTCAAAGTACTAAGAGCAGGTGATACTGAACAATGCCTACTTTTTCTTCTCTATCAAGGGCTTGTGTTAGACGTCACTAACTAAGGTCTGGGCCTCCTCACTGGCAGTAGAACCCAGCTAGAAAGACTGGACCAAGTAAAAAATGAGGCCATGAAACAACAACAGCCCTAAAGATAGGACTCAAAATAAACACCAGTAAAACTAAAGTAATAAGAAATAATTTCAAAATAGAAAATCCAATTATCTTAAATGATGAAGCAAAAAAGAAAGTTGAAGAATTTATATACCTTGGAAGTAAAGTTACTCCAGATGGAGATTCTAAAAAAGATGTAAAATCAAGAATAAATAAAGCAAATCAAGCATTTGCCATGCTTAACAATATATGGAAGTCAAAGGGATTTAGTCTGAAGACAAAACTCAGAATAGCAACATTTTAGGAATACTATTATACAACGGTGAATGTTGGAAAATGACAGTGGGAATTGCACACAAACTTGAGACTTTTAAAAATATATGTTTAAGGAGAATTCTACGAATATTTTGGCCAAACAAGATCCTAAATGAAGACTTTAGGAGGAAAACAGAATGTGCATCACTGGCAAATGTTATCAAAGTAAGACAATGGAGATGGCTTGGACATGTTTGCAGAATGCCTTGTGACACTCTGGCAAAAACAGCTCTCTGGTAGATAGAAGATGGGAAAAGAAGACGTGGACGACCTAAGGAAACCCGGAGAAGGACAACAGAATGGGAAATGAAGGAATGTAGTCTGACATGGGATACCATTTGCAGAAAAGCAGCAGACCGGCAGCAATGGAGATCACTTGTGAATGCCTTAAGTGTCAACAGCGACATGAAGAGGATATGAATAGATAGTGTTCCAGAGCTCCCTTTTTAGTAATAAAAACAAAAAAACAAGCAAGAAAGAAAAGAGCCAGTGCTCCTTAACAAGCATGTCATAGAAGACAACTACATAATGATGCACTGAAATTGGCTGTGTTAGACTAAAAGGTGCAGGTACTACAGCTTAGCTGTAAACCACAACACAATGTGCCAACTGCTCTTTCAAGGGTGAATAAAGGAGAATGAGAAGAAAATTAACAATTTCTTGTAATAACTATCTGCAATAAATGAAGAGCCAGAAACATGTACTGACTTTGGACTAATTGGAAACATGTGGTACTGAAAGAACAGTTTACACCCACATCATTTTAAATGCCCCTACACTGGCAAAAGCTTGTTCTGTCGAGCGCCAGCTATGTAACTACCCTATGAATCTGTTGAACACCATCTCTCTGAGTGCCCAAACTCAGCGAGACTAGAAGAACGCTACTCCCTCCGAGACCAGACAAGTTGAACACCTTGCACGGAGGAAAAAAACAGCTTGTATAAACATGCAAATTTCACTACATGGCATTGGGCCAGAGGGAGAAAGCTCATGCGCCGCTGGATCAATAACAACAACAATAAGCTTGTTCTGTCCATCATCACATTATCAAGTCTGTAGTGGTAATGTAACACCTCAACTTACCTTCATGGTCCATATCCTCCTCAGGTGTTTGCCCTACGCTGAACTCTGGTCGCACTGGAAGGTTCAATGAGGTAGGTCTTTTCAACTTCTGATTTCCTGCTGCCTGAGAAGCATCTGGTAAATGTCCCTCGGCTCTGAAATTTGCCTGATCAGTTCTCTGTTCGGCCTCACTTTGGTCAAATGGCTGAGAGAAGTCATGTATAACTGCTTTTAGATGTGGTTCTGCGCCAGGAAGACTCACTCTTAGCCTGGCCTCATTCACAGTTGGAGAATCGTCACCAAGAGTACCAGAGTTCTGGTGAATGAAATGTTGTGACTCCATGGCAGTTTCAGTTAAGTCAGCATCAGTGTATGCTGCATGCCGATGTGGTAGCATTTCTTCACCACGGGCAGCTGTCTCTGCCTTCACTACAGCAGGCATTTCCAAAGTCACTTTTGATAATCCAAGCAAACTATTAGGTCGGACCTTTTTTATCACAGAAGGGTCTTTAGGTCTTGCTCCCACTCCTATCGTGGAAAGTACAGAGTAACCCACATCGCTGTTGGAAGAATGTGTTAAGTTTGTATCATGACCTGATATCACATGAGGCTTTCCTTCAGCAGTAAACACATCAACATGGCTGTGACTAGAACTTAAGTGGGTTGGTGTCTCTGATAAATATGTAGAAAACGCATCATCCCCCAACTGTTGACCCAGAACAACTTCATCTAGAATACCTTCAATCTCCATCTTCCCTCGAAGTAAATCATCACAAATATTGTCTGATTTATTTTTACTGTCAAGGATTGTCTCAATTTCCATTTTCCCATTGGTTAAAGTGTTTATTACTGCATTTTTGTCTCCAGCTTGGACAATGGACAGATGTTTCCCACCGGACACAACATATGAACCATTGATAACAGCGTTCTCATGTGACCCATTATGAAAAGGTTGACTTTCAGACTGGAGGTAGAGCCTCAGGCCTGCCTCCAGGTCAGGTCCTTGATGGTCAGATGTGACACAGGACCTGACACCAGCATCATTAGATCGAAATTTCTTGGGTAAAGACTCCAAATATGAATGTGACCTGGAGTAAATATCTGTTTCTGGTTCTGCCTCACTGAGTTCATCAGCAAGACTTCGAGTTTTATTGCCTTCCACATGGTTCAAATCATTTTTTACATCGAGTGTATGACTTCTGGGATAATTCAACTGTTGACGGATGTCAGAGGCATCAGTTGTTTTGGAAGAATTAAAATCTCCAACTCTACCCTCATCCAACTCAGTCAGGTATATGTTAATATCACTTTCATCAATAGTGTCATCACTATGATCATGAAAACCCACAGTCTGCTCAGAAACAGCAAACCGATCCCTGGCTGAATCGTGGTTCACATCAGATAACTCTGAATTGAAGTGTATCATCGAATTTAAAACACCCTTTTCCACTTCTAAACTGCCAGGTTCAGAATGGTTTGTTTGATTAATCTTCATCAATTCAGTATAAGACACTGTTGAGTCCTCTTTGTCTGTATCACTGTTTGCCTCAATATTGATGGTATCCATGCTTGCATAGATGGGACTGTAGTTCTGATCTACTTCACTATAGCAAATCTGTTCATGTGATACCCCTGTGTTATGCCCATCAACGATGTCAGATCTTGGAAACTGAGATGACATTAACTCCTGTTCACTAACTGGAGACAAGGCTTCAGTCTGAACTTCAATCGGCTGATATGCAATTGTTCCCTTACATTCAGAACTGTTAGCAATCCCCTTACGTGAATGTCCTTTAGTGGATGTATAAACTGTGTTTACCTCTTCCCCATTCGCAGTCACCCGAGTCAAGCTGGTGACTATTGCACTCTGACCCACTCTTGTTTTGCCCGGGTTGACTTGATCATAGCCGTTGTGGGACAGACCTTCAAACTGATCATCAGATATAAAGCTCAATTTGCTTGAGGAGAACCTATCGTACCGGTCATCATAAGCAACACTGGATGATTCCTGGGCAGATATGCTCTCTGCAGTGTATGAACTGATGGAGGAAAGCTTATTTGGATTTAGTGAGGTCCATTCCTGTCCCTTTTGCTTCTCCAAGAATTCTAGATAACTACTGGGTTTGAGTTCCTTGCCTGGGATGATTGACAGAGCTTGTTTTTCTGAAATTTGGCAGACAGATAATTTTATGAACAAAATTGTTTTAATAAATCAATTAATTTTATATAAAAAATTGTTTTAATAAATCATCCTTAACAAAAACTCATCTCAATGGCTCACTATTTACTGGGGGCTGAGGAATTACAGTAGCTAGCATGCTTGTCTACCCATTCAGGGCTCCCAGGTTTGAACTAGACATAAGTAAGTATAAATAAAGAATCCTTTCAACACCAGTGATGCGTTGGCCATATGATGTCAACTCATAATTTTATAGACCAATCAACACTGGATGGGTGATGCAGTTAACATCACGCCGGCTGCCATTATTTTCCATGTGTTGAGCTGAGTCAAGAACCAACATCACAGCACTCAGGGCATTCCTATAAGTGTTCCATCCCCATCTTCAGCAGCCAGTGAAGAGTTTTGATACTAATGGTGCCAGCAGCATTCTGACTAAATGTCTGTCTTGCCTTTCCCCTGAGCCTTGAGAATCTGCCAGAACCTCTCATCACTCCCCGCTGCATCAATCTCACCAGACTGTGGTGATCCATCTGCTCCTTTGAAATGTACACCCTCTCCCACAAGGCACTACTTTCCATGACATTACATGGTACCCATTCTAGCCTGAATTGACATGGGAGCAGCTAAAGTCAATTTTGATTTGAAGGGGGGAAAATCTGCCTCAATGCAGATTTAAACCCCAGATAATGTGCCCAAAGAGGCAGATACTCAAAACTGACCAGGTCACCCCAGCTTAAAAAAGTCCTAGAAAGCAAACCTGTGATACCGTCACATTACCCACAGAGTACCAATTGGTCATACAATTATAGAGACACAACTTTATATTTTACCCATTACTATGCCAATGTAGGGATCATTATTAACCCTTTTTGTACCCAACAGGTTTTATTTAGGTTGTTCTATTTGGAAGAATCGTTACTGAACATTTGCTTCTAAAAGAGTTAAAATAATTTTCCTCTTGAACAGAATTTACCTAACAGCAATGAAATTTAGGTTTTTTAACGTGAATATGACTAAAGTAAACCACAAAAAAGTAATAGAAAAACAAGTATTGTTCAATAAGGAACTGCTGAACATGATGGTGTTAATATCTGACATGCACTGTATAAATGTGTATTAGTAGATACAAAATAAAGATTATCCTGCTTGCATGTTGTTAAGAAATGCTAGAGATAAGCTGCAATGGTTGTGAAAGCACCAAGGGCTGGAGAATTGGCTAGCGAAAGAGAGACTTTTAGGCATTACCATGCACATCAAAGAAGTGACAAAAGTTGACTAAAGATTAGATACTGACAAATGAAATAAGAAAGAATTAGTATACACTCTTGTTCTTAGACAGTTAAAAAGAGTTATCTAAATATTTAAACAGCATCATCATCATAAACTAATTCTGCTGTTAAGTGGCGTGGGGAGGAATAATTTGTGATCCAGAGTATGCTTGCTGGCACTGGCTATTGTTCTGCCGTGCAGGCGTAAAATGTCTTTAATGTTTTCGACCCATCTTTTTTAGGTCATCCTCCTGATTGTCCGAGATGTAGTGCTTGTGGATGGTATTTAATGCTGCTGCGTTCTAACAAAATGGTAAAACCACAAGATCTGCTATTGCTCGATGAATCTAATACACAGTGTTGTTCCAACAATCTGATAGCATCAATGTTCATTCAATCAGGGATGGCGACCACCGGATGAGGAGATGAAACTGATAACCAGAAATATTTATGGGGAAAAAGAGATAGAAAAAAAAAAGAGACAATGTTTAATAAGAAGGACTACCTCTTCAAACAGAAAACTAGATGCAACAACAGGCCTGCCAAGAGTTGTTTGAGAGGATGTGATCCATAAAAAAGTAGAAAAACAGAAGGAGAAACAGGAGACAGAGCAGGAGAATGTCAAAGAAAAGAGGAGGACTAAGAAGGGGAAGGTGGAAGAAACAAAAAAGGAAGATGAAAAGAAAAAAGAGGATGAGGGGAGGATGAAAAATGAGGAGGAAAATAAAAGACAGTGTTAAGTTCCTACTGCTGTAACATCATAAAAGGTATGGCATGGTGACTATCACACTGGTCTTCTATACTTTCTCTAGTACCAACTGTATCAAAGTGATGCTGAACCCTGGAGTTAAGCCAACCAAAAGCATCCTGTAACAACTGGGGAATCAACTCAGACCACAGTGTCAGTAGACCAGTACACTATTAATGCACCATCAGGGCTCGTTTGACAGTTAAACAAGATGTGATACACCATGTGTGGTGTTGCACTGCACTTTTATGTATCAGCATATATGCATTTACTTTGACTTGCAAGGAGAAAATTTACCACAGTGTGGAAACTAGATTCATTCTGAGTGTTAGTAGGCAATTTCTACCTAACAGGACTGGGTTTTTTTTTTTTTCTTTCTAAATGACAGGCACCGGGACAGAATATAAATGCATTTACCACAAACTCAGATGAATGAATGAAAATCAGAAAACTTGTGTTACCAATTCCACCTCCATTATCATGTTGGATGCTGTGACCTTACAAGCAGGGCTATCTTTTTTTTTTTAAGCAATGTTCATTCAACTTTGCAATGAGACACCAACTACTTTATTTGACCTCGAATTATTGAGCCATCAGGGCATGCATTATCACTGATTAGCTGTTACAGTAAGGCCTCTATATCACCACTTATCCATTGCTGACACCCTTAGTCCAAAGTAATTATCAGTCCATGCAAGAGGCTCTGTTGTTGGGAAGCACTTTGTCTTGTTCTTCACCATGCACTTCCCTGATAATTCCTTTTCAATTCATCACAAATATCTAGCAGTATCTTCTGCTTGTACATCTCCTCTCAAAAAGCTAGCTGGCATGTTGTTTTACAGATTATAGTAAAGTGTGACATCTGCGTGATTTGGCCCATCACATTTTGATTTATGTTTTTCCTCTATCAAACTGAAGCCCTTGGAACCTACACTGTGAACCTGTATCATCCAAACCTCACTTCTGTCCATATCCCTCAAACTCATTCAAGACCTCTATGTCGAGGGTGTTCCCTGTCCACTAAAAAACATCTCTGCCTGGAACCGTTTTTGTCTTTCATACATGGAAGTCAAGGCAAGTATATGCTGCCTGTAAAACTGGTGTACCCCATGTACAGCCCAAAATGACTTCTTGATCTCTTGACTCCCACATAATCATCCTGCTGTGCCATTACATGTCATACAAGACTCACATATAGACATGTCCAGAATGCTATGAAGATAACCCAACATATGGGCTCAAACAGTAATTCTCCATTCCATTCTATCTTGTGCAATCCTTCCGATATGGTGGAAGGAATCAGTCTCTCTCATTAACATTTGTTTTACGGCTTCTCTTCAATGTCCTCGTTTCCTCCACCCACATGTTTCCCATTTCACTGTCTGTTTTCTGCTCACTTCCCAGATGTGTCCACTTAGACAACCATATATCTACACACTCAAGCTTGACAAAACCGGACAGGAACAATTCGGTGTAGACAAAGGGAAAGAAAGAGGCAATAGAAACCAAAGAAATATTATCTGGACACAAAAACTAGCAAAACAATAAAATGAAAACATTTAAAATTATTACTCAATGTGTGTATTTAACAAAATACAAACCAAACAAAATAAGGGCACTCAGTAGTGAGTAGCAATGAAACCACAAATTTGCAAATCACAACCAAAGATTTTCACAATCAAGGAATTGTTCAGGTAACAGCAAAAAGCAAAATTCACCAAGACGAAACAAATCTCACTGTGCAGGCAGCCAGAAAAATTATCAGAGTTTTTGAAGTGTGTTAGGGTTGTGAGGGTGAAAGGGAGCTTCTACTACACTTCTGAAAAAGTTTCCAATTAACATCAGATTACTCAACATACCTCATGGTTAAACAGTCCCAGAAAGCTGCACAGCAACAAGGAAAAAACCAAACTTTACTGGGATGAAGCCCATAAATTTCTACTACTGTATTTAATGGGAGCCATCATGATGTAGAAGCTAGACGCTCACTCGTTGACCTTATAACCCACCGACTGTCGACTGGTCTACACAACACAGTCCTAGCCTTATATGCCCAACACACCGGAAAGTGTGAAATGGGGTCCTTCACTGTCTTTACTGCCTGTATGTAGGACTTTTGGTGGTGTAGGAGAGAGGGGTCATTAGCCGAAGGATTTCACTCTTTTAGTCCCAAGTAAAGCATAATGTGGGAATTGCTCTTCCCCCTTGAGTCTTAACCAACATGCAGTGTGTTATCAAATCCTGCAGATTTGGTAACAGCATACTAAACAATTCTGGCTTCAGCATTATCTGCTTTTTTTTTTTTTAGTTATGCAATTTTTAATTGTTTTAGCAATTGTTACCTAGATAGTAACTGTTGATAAATCTTCTGAGACTGAAATTGTCATGGTCACATGGCTAGTCCAGTCAACAAAAACTGTGAAGTTTAGGATTTTGTTTCCCCCCCTTCCCCCCCCCCCCTTTTCCCCCACAGAAAAAATCTTCATCCCTTACCCAGGATCAGACCCAGGTCTCCCGAATGACAGCCCAGCACTCTAACCGCTCAGCCAACAGCAACTGTGTCAAATCAACTGCAGCAATCATCTTCTGCATTAGCACTTTAAAAGGTGACTGGAAACTTGTGTTTTTCTTTACAGCTAGGTTGCAAAATCTGCAACCTTTAGCCTAAAATAGTCAGTTTCAGAAATCCTTTCACAACATGCCATGCCTTTTGAGATGGTGGATCTAATCTTCTCCCCCCCCCCCCCCCCCCCCCCCCCCCTAAATGGAAACCCATTACACACATGAGGAACTGCAGCAATTGAATTAAATTTTTTTTCTCCCAGAAATCAACAAACCATGAGCTGTAAACCCTTTGGCTCGGTACTATGGATATCGCAACCCTTTGGTCTTGATCCCATGATAGATACCATAAATCTGGACAATTTATGGCTTTTTTTACTACCCCTGAGCATGAACTCGGACCACAAGGAGTTTAAAACTAACTTAGCTAGCAAAATATAAGTTTTTTCTTTTAAAAATTAGAATGCAGAATTGATTAATGAAGTGGTACAATATGTCTATTTTGGAATATATGTATCATAAAAGCCTGATATACCAACACTAATAATAACAGAGAATGGAGGTTGGGGAGAATACAAGAACATACACTCTCCTTATGCAAATCTGCTGTTCTCTAAAATAGGTCTGGATTCTATGAACTGTGTGTAAATCATCAATACAAACATAAACCCCATTAAAAGATCAAATATATTCTAATATTCACAGACACTGCTGGTCCATCATGTTTGCTGTTTCCATCAACAATGAACTGCAGTTCTAGTGGTGTAGACACCTCTGGTAGCTGCCTTATACATTTAATTTTTCACATGGAATGATAGGCATTGGGTGTGGTTTTTGCTAGCACAGGAATGGAGCAATTATCAGGGTGAACATCTTTTTGTTAAACAAACTGTGACTAACAACTTTTCAGAGAACATTATATAAATGGTATCCAGTTGTTCAAAAAACTGCCAGACTCTTATATACAACACAGGAGCCACCATTGTGTAGCAGCTAGATGCTCATCTGCAGAGATGAAGGTCATCGGTTCAAATCCTAATTCTGTCTTTAACAAAATGACCCTGGCTGCCAGGTCAACAGCCTTAAATAGGTACCAAATTAAGACCTGGGGATCGGCAGTAGACAACTTTATCGCCGGTCGAGACAGTATTTGTGTCTATCTCCTTTCATCGCATCAACATTGAAGGAGTCCTTTTCAGGGCTCTTAATGGTGTGCAGTGCTAAGCCATTTTATTTGACGCACATAACCTAGTGACAAATATAACCTTAAGTCCCCCCTTCGGAGATGGTGGTTGAATGTGACAATTCCCCCCCCCCTTTCGTCCTGGGAAATAAAGGTGGCTGGCGTGATGCTGACCACATCATCTACGGAGTGCTGAGTGATCTATAGCGGTTCTAGCACCATATATATCCAATTACCTGAATTCATGGAAAAGATCCTTTACTTTTACACATAAAAATGTATTTTCAATCTGGAAACAGATATCAACTGCTTACCTTCTTCTTCAAACTCATCCAATACTTTGTCCAGGTCAATGAAATCCATGGTAACGATCAGTATCTGCAAGGACAAGTGCAAGAGTTTCTGGGTGAGATGTTAGGTAATATATATTCTTGTTCCTCAGACAGTCACTCAAAATGTAATCTAAAAAAAAAGCTAATAAACAAAGAATACTTACCACTAGGGCTGTTTTTCTGACAGTACCCAATGGTGCATGGGTATACAGTAGTGCACCTTTTTAAGGCATATATTTTCAGCACTATTGTAATAGACACTTCATGGTGCATATTGGCACCCTTTTTAAAACAGTTTGTAGTGTGTACAGACACCCCCTTTTTTTTTCTAAACCACAACAGCCAACAAATGTTGGGCTTGGTCTGCAGTGTTCTGTAAATGTTGGGCTAGATGTGCAGTTTTTTTTCTTTTTAAGTATATAAATAAGTGAAAATTCTCTGCACTCATATCATAATGTGTATACACTGTATACAACAGACTGCTCTACTAATGCACATTATTTTTACACTGAAAATGTAACTAGTACTGAATGCAGTACAGTAATTCCTAATCCATTACAATTTATGTCATGCATGAAGAACTACAATAAAATTGTAAAATTAAAATTATCTTTTTTAATAAAAAAAATTATTTTATCATTTTTATATTTCAACACAGGAGTGAGGCTTGTAAATATAAAACCTAAAAGTAAAAAATGTCATGTAGTTGTTTTAGTTTTAGGACTGCACTGTTGCAGTAATTTACAAATCTATCCAAAATGATGTGTTCCTAGATAACTAAACTAAATAGTTACTAACTAGTGGTTGCCTTTCACTTGTTACAGTTATGTAATCAGTACTCCGTAATATATAAAAGTAAAAAAAAAAGAGACTTGAGCTAGCATCTAATCAATTCATGTCATAATCATACATAGACTTGCATCTTTCGGTGGGTGATGACAAACAACGATTACAAACGATAAAAAAGCATCATTCAATTATTTAACGAACACAACAAGCAGGAACTAGAAATCTGAAAGGTCTAAGGTCTCCACCAAAACTCTAAAACTCGTCAGCCCCAGAACAAGTTGACCACAACACACTCACCGCACAGCACAGCTGACGAATATGATAGCTTTTGCGGATAAATTCTAGCTTTATGAATAAAACGTATAACAATAATCGAACAAAATATTACCCTTTAATTTCTAAACAATTCCTATCACAGAAAAGATCAATTAGTGACAAGGTATGGTCACTGTTTAACATAATTATGTTGTTAATGGAAGCCCAAAGGAAACATCAACATTGGCAGCCATATTAACTTTCCAAACCAACGCCGTCTGGTGGTTGTATCTTGTATGTGGTTAATGGCTTTATCAGAGGGGATGCGTTTGTGTGTGTGACAAGGTTTCATCCTAATGTAATTAAAGGCACCTGCTGTGATCATTGTCTGTGGATTTGTTTACAATTAAATCTGATCCCGTGTGATTCGTCCATATAGACCACACCGTGTGTGTCGTTATTTTTCACGTGATTACCAAGTATGACTCATTTAACGCCTAAAAATAGCAATTCACGCTGAAGGAATCCCCAGAGATTAGTAGAAGAATCCACCAACCACGTTGTCTTGGTAATTTAATTCAAAACGGGGGGGGGGGGGGAGAGAGCTAATGTGTGTCTATCAGGGTTTGAGAGAGAGAGAGGCTTATGTTGTGTGTGCTATAAGGTATATAGGTTTTGGTATTTTCTTCTGATTCTGGTCGTTGACACATATGCCGTACATAAAAACATACTTTTTGAAGCGTAGGTTTAGGTGCTCGAACCTGGGGGCTTAACAACCCGGACGCTTTTCTTCCCCACTACACATGGACTGTATATTTTATAGCATTTGTTAACTTATTTCAAATTATCATTTGCATAATATAAAGACTGCAGTCCCCTCAGTGTGCTTGTCAAATGGGACCACAAACACCTGAGCCTTGTCAAGATTAGTCTAGAGAAGGCGTTGCCTGAGCAGATTCTGTTTGGATACTTACAACTACAAAGCGAAATCTGGCCTTGAGAGCAAAGTGTGCGGAGCAAACTATAGGGAACGTACATGCAACTGACTTTTGAATTCACAGAGGCAGCCCACCTGACGATCTGACCTGAGCATATAAAACCGAATACAAAGAAGAACAAGACGAAGAAATCAATTGAAATGCATATATAAATTTAAAAAAATAATAATAATAACTGCACAATTAAACAAGGCTTAGGGCCCACCAAATCCCCCCCCCCCTCCAAAAAAAACCTTCTAGGAATGTGTTCACACGACTTAAACCATGTTAATTGCGCAATATTTCAATATTCGCAACAATTATTATTATTATCTAATTAAACTAGGCTAGACCCCTGCCCCTAGAACATTTGAGGCTGGGGGAACTTAGCATCCCCTCCCCCTCCTCATTGTTTCCCAATGGTTTTCAGTACGACGCAGTGCCTGTCTATGTGTGAAAACAATTCCTTCTACAAGTGTGTGACATAATGGCCTGTACCTATACAAGTTTCATTATCAACTTATTAATAGGAGACTCTTCTGTTTACTTTGTCGTCACTTTCTAAAGTGAGTCTGCGAGCAGTTAAGTCTGCTGCTGTTGCTGCTGCTGGCAATGGTACGACCACCTTCTTAGTTCGAGGCTTTTTTCTGGTGGTACGGAGCCTTCCGTTTAGACATCATTTTGTCAGCGCAACTGTAAAACAAAAGCCTGCTCTGGCTTATGTATCCAGTTTCGTCCTTTTTAGGATAAAATTTTTTGTTATTTGAAGCCCCACCCTGGCTTTTGCCAGGGGCCGCAATATAGGCAGGCCATAAATATGGCCAATGGTCTGAATGCGGTTTCTGGGACCTCTCCACGGCGATCCTCATCCACATGTGGCACTTTGTGTCATCGGGTGTTTATGGCTTGTGTGATGTCCTAGTGGGGTAGAAAGTCAGTCAGTCAGCGCAACTGTAACAGATATTGTGCGGTGAGTACCGGCATCTTTTTAGACATGCTGTTGTGACGGTAAACCTCATTTAACCTACTGTGAGAGATTAAAGCCTGTGCCTGCATCGTACAGTATTGGGTATATGGTGCTGTCTTCCTGTTTGTACAGATTTTTTATTTTTACCCGAGGCCCAGAAAAACCAGAGAACTTGTTTCGCGGCCAGCCATAAAGCCAAACAAGGTTAGTTGCGTATCCTTTACGGGACGTTGCAGAAACAACCATAACAGCCCCTGGCTATTGTGTGGGTTTTCTAGGCAAATTTACGTCCAGTAGTTTAAAGGCTAATAAAACACCAAAAATGTAATTGTCGCGTACATCTGGCTGCGTGATCTCGAAGCATGGCGCCCCCTTGAATGCTGGAGGTCCCGGGCTCAAGCCCCGGTGAAGGCTGGTATTTCTTCACGTGGACTTGGACTTCTAGTAATTTTCTCTGGGTAGTGAGATCGGACGCCTGTGTGTATTGTTGCGCACGTTTTAAAAAAAAATCCCTTGGCATTTAGAAATCAAAAAGAGTAGCTTAACGGCGCTGCCCGTGCAACATTTTGTGCTAAAAATCTGCACAAAGTATTTCAGGATCCTCACCGGTGTTACGGAGTTCGTGCACTGCGCTGAGAATCTTTGGACTCAGACTTGAGCCAAAAGTAGAACAGAGCACTTATGGGTTACCACCCTTGTGTCATGACGTTGATCTGTCGTCTAAACTAAACACTCGCTTTGCAGAAATCATACAGACGCTACGTGAATTATTGTTCTAATTCTCGGCCAGACTGGATTACTAGTTACGCAACTGTCAGCTTCCGCAATATAGCTGTTTTATGCTGTTGAAGTCGGCTCTGTGGCTAAGTCGATGCGAACGCTCCGTAATGCCGGGATGCCAGGTTCGATCTCAGCTGCGGGCCACGCACCTTGCGTTGGTTTTGACAGTGGTATCAAGAAAGCCGACCGTCCAGGAGCAATGGCGAACTACTGGATGTAAACTTGTCTAGAGAAACCACACAACAACCAGGGGCTGTTGGGGTTGGTTCTGCACCGTCCTGTAAAGGATACGCAACTAACCTAATACTGTTGAAAGGATTTCGGGAATAAATACCTGTTTAATTCGCATTCTTATAAGGAAAGGCGGGGGTGGGGGGGGGGGGGGGTTAATTACTTCACACGGAATTTTCTCTAATTTGGCAAATCATTTGATTTGCTGTTTTTGCGTGTTATTTAGAATTGGTTCTGTGCCCACTTTTTTCTCTTATGACTTCATTTCTGATTTTATCACTTCTGGTCACTCTTGCAACCCTTCTCGGTTCTTTATTAATATCCTACCCCAGATGACGACACGAGAAGTCCAACATTTTAGAGGGTGGTAAGATTGGGTTTCCCAGCTTTCTGGTGCTTTTAATGACCCCGAAACATCTAAAACTGGCCCTAACCCCAACCCACTTACGTCCACTGAGAGAGTGCAGCCTAGGTCCCACGACTGCATGCAGCCTAGGTCCCACGACTGCATGTAGCCTATCTAGCACCGCCTGAAATATTAGACTGTCCCGTGACCTGTGGATTTCTCCTGTTTGGAGTTAGTTAGTTAGTTGCGTATCCTTTACAGGATGTTGTAGAACCAACCCCAGCATTTTTTGGCTGTTGTGGTTTTGCTAGGCAAATTTTACGTTCAGTAGTTTGTCATTACTGCCTGAACGGTCAGCGCTCGGCACCACTGTCGAAACCAACGCAAGACAAATCGTCCGCAGCTGGGATCGAACCCGGCACCCCGACATTACCAAGCGCGTTCGCAACGCCTTAGCCACAGACGTCGACTGTGTTTGGGGTAGGATAGTAATAAAGCACCCCCTTCTCATTTCCATGGTTACTAATTTTCTTTTATGGTTTCTTGTGAGCGACCATGTCTAGCCCCGGTAGCATAAAATGGGAATAATTAGTTTTTACTGTACCCTCCCTATAAAAGACTTTTGTTGGTCCACTTTCTGATGTTATCTTCCACTTGTTTCACTGTTTCTCTCCCGCTTTTAATAT